AAAAATATTGATGAGAACAAATTTAAAGTTGAGGAAATCTGCGATTTTACTTTGTTAGAGGCCTATAAGTAATTTATTTATAAATGTTGGCAGTAGTAAATTATTGTCCGCTCCTCTAAAGTGATGTACTTACCCTGAGAAATGTATGTCATGTCCAAACTCAACAGAGGTAGATGGCTGCACCATAGCACCCTGCCAGAATCCTGGGTAAAAGAGGTGTATTGTGCCCTCCAAGGGAGAAGGATAATGGCATGCAGCAGTAACTTTTTATAACCGTTTTACGGCAGCCAGTCTTGTCAGTCTGCCCTTCAAACAGCTAATGCAGCATGACGCTGGCTGGGGAGGGACTATAATGGAGCCACAAGTTGTGCTTTACAGAGAAAGGGACGTGTACAACTGTCACAAAAAACCCAGCTCATAAAAAAAGTCACAGAAATGGCAACCGGCCTACGGGCACGACATCGCTGTTTTCAAAATATATTAAAAGTACCAAAAGTAAAACTCTTACTCATTATGCAAAATGGCCCATTTTAGAATAATGTATATTATATTACTGGATTATAAATATTGATGTATTCATGTGTAGGTATCACTATTGCTGCAGGGCAAATTTAAACTACTTACACTGTTGATTATTTCGTATTAATAATCAGAAACTGCAAAGTAAGCAAAGTCTAAATACATTTATTGTAGTGAGAAATACAACATTTGCCTCCAAAATGTAGTGGAATAGAACTATAAACTAGCTCAAAATGGAAATACTCAAGTGATAGTACCCTGACTTTATACCAAGTAAGGTCTGATACAGAATACAGGACAGACGAGAGAAGAGGAGAGCAAGATCAGGCTCAACAAGCAGAAATTGCTCATCTCTCGTGGCCTGTTTTGGTAATTTGCCACAGCCTGATGACTCTCCCGATGTCTCACTGCTCACTGCTTGTTTGCGGCTTTCTATGATTTATAGCGAGAAGAAGTAGCAGGAGAAGTAGCAGGAGGCTACAGGAGTGATAGAGGAAATATGAGTTAGAATGTGATTGGGATGAATGTTGGAGGGAAGAAATGGCTCAAGGACATCTTGATCTCCTCAACCAGCCCCATGCTTCAAACCAGCAACCTTAACTTCTCAGGCTATACTGCTCAACACAGACTGGTGAATGAATGCAAATGTGGTTGCTGTTGTGCGTTGAGCATGAGACGAGCTTTGGTCTTTTTATTTCAAATGCAAATGAGGTGTAGGTCACAATACATGTGTACTCTAGTGTACTCCCTTCTTATTAATCTGTCCGAGCCCTTTTCAGGTATTTCCCTGTAAACCTGAGTTATGTATGCGATCCCACAAGGTATTACATGGCATTTCTGCAAGCGCAGGAATTTACATGTTTTCAGAGACCTGTGAATTATGTGTTAGCCGATTACCCTGCTGGAACGCGTTTGTGGAACAACATTAAATCATGAAATTATCCCTCTCTGGATAATGTGTGCCGCCAAGCTGCATTAATGAAAATGTTGCTCTGACGTTCTGGGTTACACTTGTGATTTATCAGAATCAGGTGGAAGATGAAATACAGAAAACTTTAGCTTTCTTGGAATTTAAAGTGGAAAAAATCTTTACAAAAATAAACACTTGTGGTAAAATGTTGCTGACTAATAATTATTTTCTAATTCTATTTAACAGACAAGAAGGCCTACGATATAATGTCAGTAACCATTAGATACTATTCTGACAAAACCAAACTAAAAAACAGAGCGTACATAAGTCAAAACTACTGTGTATTGTCCACTGATGTGTCGGAAACACATGATGTGAAGTATGAAAATGCTTTTATGTATGGTATGTTATGAACACTCATAGTATCACTGTGTGGGCACTCACCTGTAGTCCCTGTAGAGGGTTCAATGATGAACAGTTGGCCTCATTTTCAGTAATACCACTGTCTCAGTGAAAAACGCTATCACCAAACTCTGCTACTCCAACAGTAGCTGTCTTGTGAGAAATATCTGGGAACTTTGGGAAACTGTGTTTTACAGCAACTTCCGCAAAGCTAAACGATTGATAGGGTTTGTAGTTACTGCAGTCGGACTACACTGAGATGAGATTGAACCCACCGCTTTAGCCCTCAAATTCCTCTGTCAAGGTCAGTGAACTTAGAGAAAGTACTGAGAGAAAGTAAGTTAAAATGCTTAGCTACAACTTTTTTATTGTCTTTTTGCAATTTTGTGCCTTAGTCACTGCTTCATATCATCAGTTCCTACTGTTATTCATTTGTCTTTCTTTTAATCAGGGCTGGGTAAAGAACTGCCCAATTAAACCCAAGTAAAATCAATCATCAATCATTTATTAAGATGGAGGAACAGGAGGACTTTTTTTCTACATTTGAAACACTGAAAACTCCTGGTCATATATGAGTGCCCTCCGTTACGAGTATAACCGTGACGTATCAAGGTATGGTGTGCAGCATAATGGTTTCTTTTGCGAGTTGTTGTTGATGTATGTGAATTGTGTAAATATTCTATCCGCGACATGATACCTTTGTAATAACAGGAGCAAGCAAAAATATCACTGATTAGCTTAGTGTTATTCAAAAAGTTGGCATAGAAAACAAGAAAAGCACACACAGGCCCACACACCTGGACATCTCAGCATGGCCATCTGTCACAAGACTAGATATTGCCAACAGTTCTCTCCTAAACATAGTCGCTTTCTTGCCCCCACTGTCTCACTGTCCAGTCTGGCTCCCACAACCTCCATGTTTTACTGTGGATACAAGTAGTTCTGATTAACTGATTTGATTGGACAGGATCTCCTGTTAAGGTTCAGGAAAACAGTTCTAACTTGTTTTACGTTTATTGTAGTGTCTGACTCAGGAGAGCAATGAGGTGTTTAATATATGCTGCTGTAAAATATGTACTTATATGCAGGTCCCTGTATTGTAGCATAGGACTAGTACTGTGGTAGAGCTATACTATCCTAAATGGGGTTTGTACCCAAACTCATTAAAGCACACAACGATCCACTTTCTCTTTGAAAAGTTTCCCTTTCTTAGCACAGCATGAACAACTAAACAAAACCCTTTAACTTAAACTGAGATAACTGATATTACCCATAATAGGATGTATGTATGTGGTCTTCTCTACCCAACATCACCGGTGTAGGATCACATGCATGCCGATTTATACTTCTTTTGTAATCAGTGTTTCGACATGTTAAAAATGTCTTTTTATTTGTTTCTTCAAACGCCGGATTGTATTTGCTTTATAAATTGACACGAAAGAATGGCTTCAACAAGAGGGTAAGCTGCTGCACATTTAGGCAAGACTTAAAAAGGTAAAAAAAAAAGAAAAGTAGTAAATGCTCTTAACCCTGATTTTTTCCTGGATGTGTAAAATGACAGAATATCAACAGTGGGTGCTGACAGTGAGTGAGTGAAAGTACACAGCTCACAGTGCACCCACTACTGGGATACAAATAGGTGAACATGTTATGGGTCCACAGTTAGAAACAACAAATTAGGAATATTTTATTGCGATCTCAAAGCACTATTCCAGAATTAGTTGCTTGTATTTATATGAATCACTGTTAAATGGCAAACATCTTTCTGCTGTCTTGGCTCTTCAATCAATGATGATAAATGAAATGTGCAACTTCAGACCTCGACTCCAGATGCATGCAGTGTTTCCACAAACACGGTCACAATCGCTCTTCTACTTGGCTGAAGATGTTAAATATTTAAAATCATCCCAGCAGACTATGGAATAAAGTTATTGTATCGTACACAACCGAAAAAGTGTGTGTCGAAGCAACACTCCTCCTTTGCTTTATTGATTCATATAGGATCAATAAAGCATCTTAATATTTTGTTCTTTTTGCACATTTTCCCTGTAATCACAGGGAGCTGAGTGTCTCTTGTGTGTTGAAGCAACACTTCTCCTTCAGCGGCAGCATTGTGACCCCTGGTGTTGAGGAGAAGTATTACAAATGGCCTGCTTTAACACGTTTTTAAGAATCAGGGACCATTCGCAACACTATTATCATGTCTATATGACATTTTAACAACTAAAACTTAACTAAACTAAAAACACTTGGAAGATTGCAGTTTTTCAGCAGACAAATGAGAAAGGATCGCCAGACATGGCCACTTGTGATGTCCCGTGTATTTGTACTTTATTGATTCATATAGGATCAATAAAGCATCTTCATATTTTGTTCTTTTTGCATTATTTTTGTAATCACAGGGAGCTGAGTCGCTCTAACTGCTCTAATGTTACCTTTTCATGACTAATGTCTACATCTACTGGCAGTACCTTCCCTGACTAAGACACTCTTTCCAGTTCCGGTGATGTTGTGGTGCTTTTCTTCTATCTAGCTTTTAAATATAGACAAAGACGTCACCACTCTCCTTTGATGTAATAACCAGAGCGTGTAGCGCCAGCAGGTTGGCGTCAGTATCAACACATTAGCGGCTGAATGACACAAATGCAGCTGATTTTTAGAATCCACAATTCAAAGCCTGGCTTTGAAATGCCTTACATTTCATATTCCAGTGTTGGTTCGTTATCAGTGACGAAGGATACCATATATATCAAAATATTGCCTGCAGCTGATTCTGGAAAGAGAGCGAAAAGAGGCCAGAGACAAAAGCCGATGTTAGAGGGATAAAAGGACGAGGGGGTGGTAAGTGGGGGGGCTTGTACACGAGGAGTTAGCATGAGATAGAGGGAGAGAGAGGAAAATAGATGTTTTTAGAGGATTTATGCGGTTGTTTCGCATTTAAAACCATGTTAGACACATCACAGCTGAGAGAGGAGCGCTGTTCAAGGATCAGCCACTAAACAACTCATTTAACCACTGAAAAGTGAATCAAGGAAGGATATTCTTCAGTGCACTGGATATACAACTAACAAGTCCCCCTTTCCCCCTTCTCGTTCTTCTTCTTCTTCTCCTCTTCTTCAACTTTCTCTACTCTCTTGCTCTGTCCTGCTCCGACATGTTTTTCTTCCAGCTCGTCATCATGTCCGGCACGCTGCTGCTGGCCTACTACATGGAGTGCACGGACCTGTTCAGCGTGCACGTGCAGGGTTTCTTCTGCAACGACGCCGAGCTGATGAAGCCGTACCCCGGCACAGAGGAGTCCAGCTTCGTCCCCCCTCTCATCCTCTACTGTGTGGTGGCTGCTGCTCCCACCGCTATAGTGAGTAAAAAAAAAAAAAAAAACATCTTATGTGTATTTCGCTGCAGTGTTTAAATACGGCAACCACATTTGGTTTATTTACGTCTCTCTGAAAAGAGCAACCTTTTCTTCACTGCTTACAGCTCTTCACATTTGAAACCTATTATTTCTACAATAATTCCTACAACCACCAAAAATGTAACCTCTACTCTACAAAGTTTTATTATGTTGCCAGACAACATATACTGCTGACCTACAGTATGGCCTACTGACCAACACATAAGTTACTTCAGTGTTAATTATAAATCAGATAAGTAGGACGTCTGTGCAGAATAGATATTCAGCAATGCATCTTATTTGAACCTACTACAGTTGTCCCTCTATCCTCGGTAAATTCCACTTTCTCTGTCAAAATATGGCAGAAAAGCTCACAGCGACCCGTCTTGACTAAAGACTGTTTTCAAATATTTTCATGGGTCAGCTGAGAAGTCCGGTGACGATTTCACGAACAGAACTTTTGGCTCTCTGAACTTTGAACAGCATCCCTTAATCTTTTGCTTTGTTCGGCTGAATGCACCATGTGAAGTGTACAAGTCGTGACATGACGGACACATATTTTCCCCGGACTATGACGCGATCTCTTAACTTAAACAGTGTGTGTCCATGGAGTTTCCCCGTTATTCGGGCCACAAAGTAGCCTCCAGGTGCTAGAAGGCGAGTGGATTTCCTGTTGTGTAATGTTTCACCATTCATTCACTGTTCCTTCACCGTTGTGCTGAATGAAAGGGACACCCGTGCACCGGTGAAACCTTTTCAACATCAACAGCGAGTTCAGTTGACTCAGTGTTCTATAAGTGTAGTGTAACTCATGCCACTCTATCCTTTCACAGCTGTTGTTTAATAGAACGCTTTGATTCTAACCATGTTTTGAGTGTGTAGTGATTTCACATTGGAAAAAGGGACAGAATATTTTTTTCACCCAACCAGACAGTAGGGGTGGGAATCACTAGAGGTCCCACGATACGATATTATCACGATACTTAAGTCACGATACGATATTATCACCATATATGCTGAGATATGCTGAGTATTGCGATAACATATATTGCAATTTATTACCTTTTTTTAACTGCAAATGATGTCCCCAAAGGAAAACTTTGTCAACATGTTTTATCTAAGAAGATAACGTTTGCATTCTCACTTCAATCATTTTTATTGCAGCAAAATGGGATTGTCAAGCAGACAGACTGACCAACACTGTCATAAAAACCTGTCATAAATGAACTGTTTGTATCACAGTCTACATAGTCCAACTTAACTGAATGCAAACGTGTGTGGACTCAATATATGAACTATAACTTCTATAAGTAAGATATAAGAGTTATATAACTCGGTATAACTTGCGATGCGTGGACGTCAAGGGCAGAGAGACTGGCTACTGTTGGCAGATTTAATGCCCGTTGTGAGGCCACATTGAGCCAAACACTTCACATGCAGGTATCCCGCTAACTGAACGGCAACGCCCATGTTAGAAGCGGTGTCGGTTACAACCATCAGGTTTTTTGTCGGCAATCCCCCATTCTTGTGCTGCATTTTGAAGGAGGTCTGCAATGTTTGCCCCGGTGGGACTTACATGTACTGCTCTAGTTTGGAGAATGTGAGACAGCAGTTGCCAGTCCTCTGTGAGATAATGTGCTGTTATAGTCACATAGGAATCCACTGCCCTTGACGTCCAGTTAATGCAACCCTTTCTGCTGTACTCAAAGATTCCTCAACTTTAAGCTTCACTTCTCTGTAGAGCTTGGGCACGGCTGGGTCGGACGGCGCATTTCTGATTTCTTTCTCCGATGTCTCCATCCTTGTTTTGACCAACTTCCTACCAATCACGCTGACCCGGGACCTCTGCTGACCTCACCAGAAAAAAACTAAATCTAGTGGACTGAAAAATAAATAGATTTTATTATTCCAATACAAAAAAGTTAAATTTGTATTTGCAGAAGATCGATACTTGGCTTCCGTGTATCGCCACGCAAAATATCGTGATACTATGCTGTATCGATTTTTTCCCCTCACCCCTACCAGACAGTGTGCATACTAGATTATGGTTGATTTTTGAGCGCAATGTTGATAAACACTATTCTCCCACAATGCAATGCACGAAGGAAATGGAGGCACTGGGGGAATTAAACTAGATTGTGGGAGGTGGTGAGTTAAACAGCTTAAGAACAAAAGGTGTTACAACTTAAGAAAGACACGTTGCTGCCACTTTGTGAAATTTAACTGCCAGTGACCAAAGTTGCAGTTTCCCACTTTGCACATATTGTGACATTTATTATTAGTATAAAACAAGTCGAGTGTTGGATTACTGCTCAAACAGTATACTATGCCAAACAGTATGTGGCACACATTGTATAGAATGAGTTTGTGCTGCAGTATGGATTTTGACATGACATTGAAGGAAAACTACAGGTGTAGCTAAAAGCATCAATGGGGCTTTTTCACAGCAGGTGTTTATACTTGTCATAGCAGGGGAGGCACAGGTGTAATCAATACCATTAACGATGGCTCTGTGTCTTCTAATGTGTATCAGTCAGCGAGCACGATGAGTGCAGCCCTCATTAGTGTTATTAATTACACCTGTGTACCTGCAATGACGAATATCTTGTGTGAAAAGGGTCTGTTAGAAATCTTTTTCTGATCACTGAATGAACAAAATTACTATTAGACTGTTCATTTGTAAAGCTGAGGGACAGTTGTGGATGAATGTAGTGCAGGGGCTGCATGTGCATTGCTGATTCAAACAGGAGTAGAAACATGCAGCCACAAGGTGTCAGTTTAGCTCCGTGCTGGTTGACTCCAACCGAGCACACCAGACCGCACCATCCGCCATGTGTCTCTGAGTCCCTGGCTCACTTCATTATTAAACCAGTGTCAAAGATTTTCTGAGCACCTCCTGACAACTGTGTGCATGTCTGTTTTTAATGTTAGAATTAATTTTCTCTGGCCACATAAGAGGGAAAAGACGAGTCAATCCCAGAATATAGAAACAGTGAGGGTCCCTCTGTTTCAAGGAGCCAATGCTTAATGGTCAGACGCAGGCCTCGGTGTATGTTTTAGGATCGCACAGTGCTAACATGTTAAGGGCTGCAGTCGTGCATCACATCAGTACAGATGCAATGTGTTGAAATAATATTGATTAGCTTTGGATTTGACGTTACTGCACGTCATCTAGTCAGGTGTTAAAAATACAGTATTTTAAAGCTGTATGAGTGCAGCAATTATGTAATCATTTATACTAATTTGCATTTTGAGCTGGTGAATGTTGGTTATTTTACCCCTCATTTACCTTGTGTAACTGTATATAGTTGCCAACTAACTGTTGCCAAAGAGTTTATGGTAAGTCTATCAGCACTACAACTCACTACAACTATATTTTTTTGTGAACTGTGTGAGACAACCATCCTTTCCTTTTGTTTCCTTATTGTGTATGCCGTGTTATAATCCAGTGAATGTTAACTGCATTATTTAATCTTCTTTTTTGTCTATTAAGTGTACATATTTGCAGCATTTGATTCATTCATTAATAGCATTTTAAAATGTTATGATTTCCTGAGGATATGCGTTGTCATAGCTGAATTCTTTCTTTACCCACTACACCACTGAAGGACATCTTAATGTCTGCATGTCATTATAGAATTTGGTGTGTGAAATGGACTGGTGTGCTAGTCCATTTCTTGAGCACCACATGTTCTGTTGAATGCTCCGCAGCAAATCTAAAATTCAGTTTAGAACTGTAGAGTGCCGTGAAAAAGCTTTCAGCAGTGTACTGTATGTGTCCCATTTGTGTATCCCAGCTTCCTTAGAACAGACATCTTACTTTTCTATTACGACTTCAAGAGGCACTTAATTTGGGATGCGATCGTAAAAGATGTCTGGTTCCTGGACGCATGCCACCCATTTATTTGTAATGAGATATTACCATTCTGCTGCCTCTTTGTGTCTCCCTCTTGTTGTGTTTATTATCTTGGACACTTTGTTCTTTGCTCTCAGGCTCTAAACATTGCTTGTGGTTACCGGTATGCTAGTCTGAAGTCAAATGGGAATTATCATCACTTTTATAAAACAAGTAAAACACAGCCTCTAGCTTACATTCTCTTCTTGAAGCCAATTGCTGTGCAGCTGCATCAGCATTATACAGTGTTACACACCTGTGCACACACACGCCTGTCCACCCAACCCCCCCTCACACATATCCCTGTACTTCTAACGTTGTGAGGACACTCATTGTTGTAATGCAACAATGCCCTTTACCCTAACATTAACCATCACAACTAAATGCCTAACCCTAACCCTGACCCTAATTCCCTAACCTCATTTTAAAACCAAGTCTGAACTGCTCAAACAGGCCTTTGAAGAAGTGAGGACCGCCCACAATTTCCTCACTGTGACGGTCTAAAACTCATTGGTCCTCACAAAGATATATGTACAAGTACACACACACACTCTCTCTGACTTACTCAATAGAATAAAAATAATTGGTTTAAAATCCAGAAGAGTGCAGTTTTGACGGACTCTTCTGCAATGATTACTTCAGAAAAAAGAGAAAATATAATTACAGGCCGATATGTTTAACAAACATCAGTGTACGAGTTGGTACAGTACTTTTTGTTCTTTATATATCAATGTTTTCATGTTATTTGGGCTGTTATAGTTACATAATTAGTATTTTTTCGTTAAACTCATTAAAACCTAATAAGATAAATCCTTTCTTCTTTTATCCTGCTTGTCCCTGATCACACACCCCTCCTCAGTGCTGTGTCTGCTGTTTAACTTTTGTTTAACAGTGCTGGTCATTTCCCATATTTCCATCTCTCTTTCTCATTGGCCTATAGTGAATGGTTTTAGTCTTTTTATCCATCTGTACGCTATCCCAAACTTTTTAATTGTGCCCTTTGAGAGTGCTGTGTCAGGTGCTAAAGTTGTGCTTCACACTGTATATCGCTCCGCTGCCACATGCGTCATAGCCCAGCGAAGCAGCCGATCAGAATTAATGATGACAGGGATGTTGGCCAATTAGCAAAGAGGCAGTAATTTATTCAGAAGGTTCCACATGGCCGGACCAATGGGAGGCTGTAGAGGTCGTTTTGATGCGCCGTGCTATAAACTTCTTCATCCATGGACAGGCATCATAAAAGGTGATCCTTCACCCTCAACACGATGAAAGCATGATGTTGTTCTTGTCTGCCAAGTGTGGATCCAACAGAAACAAGTGGCTGACCGAGCGTTAACCTCCATGAGGGTTCTCTAGTTAAACTCTAAAGGTGTCGAGATATCAGAGAAGGACTATGTTGAATTTGAGGAACTATAATGACTCATTATTCCACTTTCTTTTATGTGGGCCTTGGTGGCAATACTGGAAATAATCAGCTCATTAAGAAGACATTAAAGGAGCATTAATTTATTCTTTTTTTTCTCCACTTCAGTGAAGTATAACAAGCTGTAAACACAGCAGTTTTACATATTATCACCCTATAAAGTGAATGTGTTAATGTGAATGTGAGCAAGTTGCCTATATTTACACTTCCAGGAGACATGAAGCAACATTAGCATTTATTCTGTGTTATGTTTCTCGCTACCCAGTGAGTGTCCAATATTCACTCTCATTTTAGCTCGGTTTTTTTGGTCTCCTATGACTCCTGAGGGAAATATCTGGCTCTTTAGCTGCTAAATGTTCCACTATGATTCCCGACTAGCCGCTAACTTAGTACATCAAAAGTTTGGTGGTGGGTTGGAAACGTACTGTGCGGGAGAGACTACCATACCCTGCCTAAGTAAAATAAGAGGTCTTCTAAAGGTAATATGGTGCGTGTCCACAGGGACCGTGAAAATCAACACATGATTGGAAGTTTCTCTTTTTGACTGATTGTTTTGGTGTTTTTAAGGACTGTTTTAGTCAGCTAATACATTTGTATTGTATTACATATTTCCAAATATACCTTACTCAAATAAAAAAAACTAATCTTTCTTTTTGCTCAAATATAAAAAGATTATTACATATAATTATCCGCTTACTGTAACAATCAAGAGAAGTTCTGTGCTGTTTTAGGCTAAATGCTTGATTAAAAAAAAAGACTGGCGATCAGTATGATTGAACAAACCGTAGAATAAGTGATTTAAGGTTTTCTACAGGAGACAGTTGTAATCATATGTGAGTGATTCACAATGTGAATAGGGTGAAGCTCAAAATGTATTCCTGAATGCTTTGGGCAGTCACAGGGACTGGATTTTATAGACTTTCAAGGGTATTGCTGACCTGAGCTCCCATAAATCTGTTACACTCACGGATGGGTTAGTAATAAATTAAGATAGCAGATGAACCAGAAGTCTGTTCTTTTCATTTCATTTCACAGAAATTACTCCCAAAAATTAAATCTTTTTAACCTTTTCATGTTCCGCTCAGACATCACACCAGTTTCACTTCATATCTGACATGGCCTTTGGAGATTAGTTGCTTTCAGTCACTTCAGTTCAGTTTTCATGATATTTGTTTGAAGGAGAGTTGGGGGTCACATGAGTTGAAATAAGACGATCAATTAAGGCAATTACTAGTTGCTTGAAAATGTTAGTCTTCATTTAGTATCAGGGAAACGCTCCTCGTCAGCATTTCAAGGACCTGAATGAAAATTAACAGATTTTGATAAAGTTATTATAAAAGTTTGCCAGTAACCTCACTTGAGATAAAAGTAATCTGAGCACATTTTAGATTTATCATACTATAGATGTGTTTGCATATGCATGCTTTAAGTTTTATAACAATGCTTAAAGAGGCTCGTGAATAATTTTATTTCCATTTAGATCAGGAACGTTTGTAGAGACACCCAAGGCAATAACATCATTTTCATGCACTGGTCAATTTTCAGAGTTTGGGCTATTTTGCATCCATAACATCCAGAAAACATCCAATATACATATTTATGTGTTTGTACAAATTGTCAGCCATAATGAAACTACATGATACAAGTTCCCCGCCCTTTACAGTCGCAGTCTGTTTGAAGATAAAGGCGTGTTTATTTGGCTATTTTGCCCTTGAAGACAGATGTTTCTGGGTCAATATGCAAAAGAAGATGGATTCTTCTGTCATCATGCATTTATGAGATTTTTATTTGGTATTTGCACGCTTTATGTCAGTCATCTAAAGGAAAAAAGTGTTTGAAAATTTTAATTCCTCCTCCTTTGTGCTGACAAATCCAGACAGGACTGAAACCAGTGCAGAGCTTTAAATCAGTCATCCCCTCTTTTATGTGTCTGCTGCCAGTTCCTCTTTCTTCTTCTTCTTTTTTCTTATCTTTGAGTTCCCCAACATCACAAAATCAACCGCTCATTCTGCTTGTAGCCACAAAGAAAGAAATATATTAGAGTTGCATTCACAAGAACGGAGAAAAACACAGGAGATGACCTGTCCTGGGGCTCAAAACAAACTCTTTTATGAACACAAACACACACACACACACACCAAAACCAGACGCATACACACACACTCTTACTGTATGCACACACTTCCGCTCATAAACACATACATATTTTTGTTGCAGCCTGCATCACCGGAGACAGCCGGCAATGAGTTTCATTTTGTGTGTCCGGCAGCAGTATTTCCATTAGACCTGATGTAATGTCCACACGATAATGGGCCTGAAGAAAGGCTGCATTAAGACATAGTGGTTTATGTACACAGGCTAGACAGGAGCAAAATGTCCCCCTGCCCTATAATGGAATGCTTAACTTGATGTTTTCTTTTCTTCCTTGTCTGTGTGTGTATGTTTCCCATCTCCTCCTGTTTCTGCGTCGCCCTCTGGTGTTTTCTGCCTATTTGTGTGCATTTTGTAGATTTTCATCGGAGAGGTGTCCATGTATGTGATGAAGTCGACGAGGGAAGCTCTCCTGGCCCAGGAGAAAACCATCGTGACAGGAGACTGTTGTTACCTCAACCCCCTTATCCGTCGCGTCATACGCTTCGTAGGTAAGAAGGTTTTCACGCCAACTAGTCCTAACTGCCCTTCATGTGGACGGTACAAGGCAGTAGCTGACAACTCACAAACGCACTACATCACCGTGTCCACCATGTCACACATGTCCTCTCACAGGTACACGGGGGCGCCAAATCAGAACTTTTACTTTTAGTTTGTATTCAGTCAGTCTTCTGTTGTTTATTATTATGTGAGTACAGTTTACAGTAAACCATGAATCTGAAACATCAGGAATGTGTCTGTGGCTTTTAGTGTTTCAGTAAGCTTTTAACCAAGAAGCAACATGCTGCATATCGTGGCTAAGCTGACAGGTGAATGTGCTGTCACTCACATGAGAGGGGAGCTCCAATGCAAAAAGCTGCAAATTTAAACAGTAAGCCTGATGAGTCAGGGCTTGAGAATGTTGGTGTTTATAGAGGACAGACAATGCTCATTTTAGGTTCATACCTTTTTTGGTTCCTACTAGAACACGTTTACATGCTTTAATGTTTAAAACATATTGTTTTTCTCATACTGTCTGTCTGTATTCACCCTCTGTCTGAAATGCTCCCTTTTAGCGCCTGTTTCTGTAAGCCCCCCCCACACCAAAAAAAGCCCAGTCTGCTCTGATTGGCTTACGAGAAAAACATGGCATACCTTTGCAAATGTAGTTCTCAAGCTGGGGGTTGGCGACACTCAGAAGGGAGGCGGTATATCCTAATTAGCCTGTATGTGACATCTGAATCTGAATGGTTTGTTAAATCACATGTTTTCTGATTTAGGCAGCTGACATATTTCAAAATTTGTGGGATATCATGATATGTCCCGTTTGTCTGTTCATGTTCTTAACACCTCCACCATCATGTAAAAAGGAGTCATTTCTCCTATAATGGACAGAAGAGGGTGCAACGATGAATGCAAGCAACAGACCAACATGTCAATCAAGAAATCACCAACCTGCGAATAACATGACATGTGACGGGATCGGGCAATTTTCTATTGTGTCAAAGGCAGGTCAAAGCACAGTGAAGGGTGAAATGAGAGAGTTTAGAGGACGAGGTTAACAAGGATGGCCAGAGTGAGGATGGCTGCAGCTTCCACCACCCAAACGTGTAAACAGGAGATTGTCTGCAAATACTTGAACATTGGTCGATCAGCCAACTGTGAAAGTGCAACACACATGAGCTGTAGCACGTGCCTGCCGAGCCGGTTATGGCAGCAGTGGAGCTAATATGATGCATTTGCTGCTTTTTCGGAGGCAGCGATGCTTGCTGATGCTGGGAGCCGTGGTTCAGCCTGAAGTGATGATGCGTGTCAAGATGAAGCCGGTGTGTGTGCCGTATATTCAGTCGGCAATAGTCTTGGCTTAAATGATCCAAGCGCTACAGTTAGCAACATATAATAGGCTTTGTGTTGACCAACATTTGCAATCACCTCAGCCTTGTTCAAGTGTGAATACAATTACATTTCATGTTACATCATAGGGAACAAAGCTAAAAATGCATGCACATGCATGTCAGGGAGAGCATTTTTGACTGTTCTGTATTCCTCTTGAGTTCAGTCTTTGATATCCATCCATCCATTATGTGAAATCACTTATACTCATAGGGTCGCGGGTGATTGGAGCCGGTCTCAGCTGACATTGAGCGTGAGGATGGGAACACCCTGGACACGTCACTAGATTATCACAAGGCTGACATATGGAGACAGACAACCATTCACGCTCTCATTTACACCTATGGGAAATGGGGTCCCTAATTAACATAACCTGTATGTCTTGGACTGTGGGAGGAAGTCAGGGAAGCTGGATAAAAACCCACCCTGACACGGAGAGAACATGTGTGGCTTAATTAGAACTGGCCATGTCATGTTGTGCATCTGGTGTGGCCGTGGTTGGAACCATCTGCTTTGATTTAATCTGAATCTTAGGTGGGTAAACTTGCTGGTCGTGGATTTTCAATTCAAGTGCAGCAAACTGGTCGATCTGAACGAAATTCAGTAACTGAAAGGAGCCAATTTGGATTCCAGCTGTGATGCGTTTACTACACTCTCTCTAAAACCACATCAGTCGATGAAACAAAATCAAATCATGTCAAAAAGCTTTACATCACAATTATAGGTAAGGTGTATAGCCCCACGCAACCTTTGAATTTGACTTTTTGCAGCCACTTTTCCACAAAGCTTGAGTAGCGCTGAAACTGACAGGCTCTTTGCTATCTTTTCCAGTAAATGAGGTTGTTTGCTGGACTTAAGTGGCGTAATCAGAACTGTATTGTTTATTTTTTAAATAATATCCCTTCAATTTATAATAAAACTCAGAGATTCATTCGCGGCCATTGGCGTGATTTATATTTCCGTCAGCTGGCAAACAATCTCTCAAATGTGTAGGATCACCGAGGCTGTTAGTTTCCCGCTCTCCTGCTCCCTCCCATCTCCTCTCAACCTAATTTCCCTTCTCTATTTCCCTCAATGATGCCCTTCACACAATCGTGTCCCTGTAACCCTCACTGGCAACCAAACCCTACCACACCTCAGCCCTCTGCAGCCCCCCCCCCGGATGAGAATACAAAGCAGAGTAATTTCATGGCTAAGCAGGCCAGATAATAAGCAGTCATATTTCACAGCAAACGGAATGCAGACGCAGACATTGGTCAGGGTTGGTGGGCTGAAAGTGTCAGTGCAATCATTCATATTAGATGCTTCTGTTCTGTTTATATTTTGTTCCTTGCATGTTGTCCACTCTTCTTTCCTTCTGTATTAACTTCATTAGATTCCAGCATTTTTCCGGGTATAATACTAACCGTGGATATTCTGGGGTTGAGCACTGCCTCATGACAGTTGGGGTTTACAGTTGGTTTGTGTGCCAGTGCTGGGAGCCAGATAGTCACAGGTCAATTTAACTTCGGATACAAGGTGACTGCACCATGCGTGAAGAGGGAAATGCGTGTGAAGCTTTTAAAGCTTTGTGTTTGTGTTCATTTTACTTTGCTGTGTGGTTTCATGTGCTATAAAGTCTAATTGTGTGTCCGTGTGCCCCAGGTGTGTTTGCGTTCGGCCTGTTTGCCACAGACATCTTCGTCAACGCGGGTCAGGTGGTGACTGGAGGCCTCTCGCCGTACTTCCTGTCCGTATGCAAGCCCAACTACACCGGCACCGAGTGCCGCTTTAATCACCAGTTCATCGTCAACGGCAACATCTGCACCGGGAACCCCGTTGTTGTGGAGAACGCTCGCCGGTCGTTCCCATCCAAGGACGCTTCGCTGAGTGTGTACTCTGCTGTTTACCTGACGGTGAGAAGAATGTACTCGGGTTAACTGTGGAGGATTAAGAGCTGCTTCACTGAATTAATAGATACAACTTTAATTAAGCTTTTTGTTGTCTAAATTATGTTTGAGTTGTTGCAAATCTAAGTAAATATACCAGAATATCAAATTCAGGCTATAACTGTTTAAACATATAGTAACTGTATTCTGGAATATAGAAACATATGTTGTCGTTCTGTTTATTTAAATCAGTACTACATTATTAGAAAATACTTTTTTTTTTTTAATTCTCCATCAAAATTTCTAATTTTCTTCAACAAAACGGGAGATCATTTAATTAAAAATCAGTGTCATCGAGTGTACTTGAGGCTCTAGAGTTACTCATTTGGGACTTTTACATACTTATATCCAAGCAATCAGAGATGAATAGATCCTTTTAATTGATTTAAGTTATACCCTTGATTTGTAATTTTAAAAAGCTTTGAATAAAAGGGAATATTTGATGTAATAAGGTGCTACATAGCACATCCATCGTTGATGGAGGAATTGGCAAGGAAATATTTCTTGAAAGTGTGTCGAAGAATGTTTCACACAAGCGTATGGTGCGTTCAGGCATTTTTTTGAAAATTGGCTGGAGGAACACACGAGGAATGGCTTTTTTGAAGAGCTATGTGAAGAGCCGCAATTTGATATCGGAGTGACGGAGGGGGCTCAGCTGCTGAAAAGTGAAAGACAGAGAAGAGGTGCAGATTTTATCAGCCAGAACAAGAGCAATACAAGGACAGGTTATTGATGAAAAGAGGATTTGATACGTACAGCTCCGTGCACTGTGTGGCGTGGGAGGAGGTAAAAGTTCAAGAAGGGAGAACATATGTAGGAAGACAGTGTGTTTTTAAATGCTGACAGTCTCCTCACAGCTTTCACTCACAGTTAGAAGTTCCTCTGTTAGGTTAATCTTGTAATCTTTTATTCTCTGTGAAAAAAACTCTTTGTCTTGGAGAGGTATTTCACTCAAATGATGTAAGTTTTTGACATCTTTCTTTAACAGCAATGGAGGCTTTGTGCTCTCACGAAATTGTAAAATATTTGATTCCATTTCTGTGGGAACACCTCCAGTTGCTCTTCATGAGATTGTCTCTGTTGTTGTCTACCCAAAGAGAGAAAAAGACACAGGAAAGAACATAACTTTTTTTTTTATTTTCACAGTCCTTGTTTTGATTTAATCTGCCTTCTGTCCTCCTGTCCAGATGTACATCACCAGCACCATCAAGACCAAGTCCAGCCGCCTGGCCAAGCCTGTGCTCTGTCTGGGCACTCTCTGCTCAGCCTTCCTCACCGGCCTCAACCGAGTCTCAGAGTACCGAAACCACTGTTCGGACGTAGTGGCCGGATTTATACTGGGATCGGCCATTGCTCTGTTTCTGGTGAGGACAACGGAAGAGTGACATGTTTGGGGAAGTGTGGGACCGGGGATTAGAGGAGTAGAGTGAAGATGATTCTTCCGAGGTGGATTCTGGTCATGACTTATTTTCAAATATTCAGCTTCATTTTGGAACTGACCCAAACCAGTAATTAAATGATTATTCTGGCTGCACCCCTTCTCAAAGCCTGTAACATGGTTTTGGTGCCATCTTTAAATTCAGTTCTATGCAAATGTAGGTCTTAAAATTCTTAAACAGCGTACATATTTTTTTATTAATTTATATTCATGTGTAGTGGCATTTATTAAGTGTTTGTAAAGTCAACATTATATATATATATATATCTATATCTATATATCTATATATATATAGATATATCTATATATCTATATCTATATCTATCTATATCTATATATCTATATCTATCTATATCTATCTCTCTATATATATATCTATATATATCTATATATATATATCTATATATATATAT